GATCAATTTCTTTTAATTTTCCATTACGTGTTGGAAGACCATATTGACCTTGTGGCCAACGACGATCATCAGCTGTAACCATATCAATACCATTAAAAAGATTATAAGCAAATTCATCAATAGAATTTGCTTCTGGAAATCGACCACTAACACCAGTTATAACAAAATCATTATTTTCATTTGAATATAAATCAGGATAATGATAACCATTATTTTTAATATTATCAGACATTGACAACGACATATTTAATTTTGATCTGAAAAAAAAAATAATGAATAAAAGAAAAAAACAACATACAGAATGTATGTCTATATATCATTAATTTATTTTTCTTTTACATTCTGCTTAAATAAATTCGTTATTGTCGTGAAGATCAATAAATGAAAAATGAAAAAAGATGACCTGTTTTCATTACATATTCTAGATGTTAAGAAATGTGTAATTCTTTTTCTTTTTGTCATTCTTAATTATATTTTAAGACGTAATTAAAGCATACATTTTCTCTATTCATTTTTTTTTTGCACTTATATAGGTCATTACAGTGCATAGGTTTAACTATAATCGTATAGAAAAATAAATAAAAAAACATGCTTCGTCAATATGTTGTGTTCTTCTGCCAATAAGAGAAATAGAAAAAAGACAAATGACAAGTTTGTCGGACAACTAACTTTTTCGATTAGATACCCCATTGGTGATTCGTTATCTGATGACTAGATGTATTTTCTTTTATAAATAGATAAGAATCCTCGATCTAATTTAAAGGAGTTGTATCTATATATAACCCTTCTCTTCATAATGACATTTATTTACCCGTATTTTCGAATTTGTTCTTCTTTCATCAGTTGAATCGAAAAATTAAAAAGACGCACATTTAAATATTTGTTTTTTTCTTTATATGTTCATATAGAAAATAGATGTAATATAGAAAAAAAAATACTCAGCAACCTATTTGGTAAAAACAAATAATATCATGAAATAAATAAAAAAAAAATTGATATTTTTCATTAATTATTAAAAGTAACAAGAAAAAATAATTTAAAAAAAATTAATCTAATAAATACAATATATTAAAATTCTATTATTTATCATCAGTACACATTCTTTTAGTATCATTGACAAATCCGAACTAATTTTCAAACTTATCCGTTTAATCGAAAACTTTTGAATCAAAAATTCTTTTCAATTACATAAACATTTATTCTCGTATTGTCTCTATTATTAAATATACTTTACATTCGATCTACCTATCTTACCAATTCTAAAAACATCGAATATTATACTATTAAATTTACCAAAATTATAATTAAATGAAAAATAAATAAAATAATATATCCTGATCATTCCTACTAGACAAAATTACACATGATTTTTCTAATATATGTGTGTGATAGTTGTTCATTACTTTTTGAAAGACGATCGATACAAAATGCTGGATTCATTGAGTATTAAAAGTAAAAACTAAATTGCTTTTAATTTATCTTTTTTTTTTCTAATAAACAAATCATTATTTGTTCAAGTTGATCCATTTTGTTTATTTTTGGATTGGTTCAGATATATATATATATATTTACCCATAAACAATTATTTAATCCCCTACTCAATCCAAAATATACCACAGAAAATATGGAAGCTTTAAATAGTAGCTACTAACATATAATACTGTTTAATATAAAACTTATTTTGAAATAATATCGCCTGTTCATGAAATGATCAATGAAAGATTGGACATGTCTTCTATGACTACATTTCAAAAATTGTCATTATATTTTGTATAATGTCTATAGATCGATCTAGCCCTGAACGGATCATCCAGTAGTTTAAACAAATCTTAGTAGATTATAATGAAAAATGTAAATTTTCAACCTCAATCGAGCTTCGATATAATTATCTAACATTTTACCAAGACCTTTGAAATGACCTGTATCTTTAGCAAAAGAAAACAAAAACTCTTTCCTTTAATTAATTAAATAAAACAACAACATACCTAATACTTTACTAATAAATGATTTAGATTTAAATACTTCAAAATAATCAATATATTCACTTGTATCAATAAATATAATCGAACTCCTTATAACAACAATACTTAAAATAATCTCTATTTTTTTTTTAAAGAAAAAATATAACTGACGTATTGAATGCTTCACCACTTTTACTATAGCCATTTAATTTACTAAAAATAACTAAATCGACATTAATTTTTTATTTAAATACTTTTCTCTAAACGTAAAAACAAATTTAAAAAATTTCAAGATTTTCATAATAATATATTTGTAATTCACCAGCTTCACCAATACTAGTATTCATTCAGATGTCACTTCTATATAAATGTGTATATATTTTAGTTACATATTGTTTTAATAGATTTTACCTTCAATAAGTTAGAAAGATAGAACATGAATTCTTCACATTTATATGTGTTTGTTATACTATTTGTTGGATGCAACAAAGTTTTTTTCGAAGACTAACAGTACTTAGAGGATCTATCACTTCTTGATATTTTAAATAATAATAATGATATCCATAAGTGTTTCTTTTGCGAAAAATTTCATGCTCTAGAAAATGACTTATAGATTATGTCTCCTATTATCTTCTTCGTTGAGGTGCGATAGATACTGTTTTCGTATTACATGAGCGATTGTTGATATTTCTGTAGGATTCTATGGTATTTTTAAAAATAAATTAGATTATTCATATCTTTACGATCAAAAACTATATCGAATAGCATAGAGTCTTCCATCAATAGTCGACTTTAGGGTAAGCGCAAATGAAAAGTTAATGGAAGGAATGTACGGGTTGAAGATTGATGGAAGATATTTTTTTGTAGAATCTTTGCTATTCGGCATAGTTTTTTAAGTTCATTTCTAATATTATTTGAATTAGATATTAGATGAAGAATCCATATGAAATACTTTCTTACACTGTTTCGATGAAAATGAGTCTTAGGATAGAATAGATTCTGCTAAAAACCATATATTAATAAAGCATACATTTTTGATCATCTAGAGATTTACGATCTAATTTGGTTTTAAATACAATAGCACTCTACAGAAATATCAAAAATCACTCATGTAATATGAGAATCATATCTGTCGCACCTGTTTGACTCTAGTTAATCTAATAGAGAAGATAGCAGTAGATATACATAATGTGTCATTGTCTAAATGATGAAAAACTTATGGATTTCATTATTATTGTCTAGAATAGCAAAGGATGATATACCCTCTTAGAACTATTTAATTTGCGAAAATGCTTTATTGCATTCAATAAATACCATCGTAAGGACGCATAAATGTGAAGAATTTCATGTTTTATCTTTGTAATTTATTTAAAGTATAACCTAAGTTTACGATCTTATTCTATGACATCCTTCTTCTGAAGAAACAAAGAGAACTTTCTATGCAAAAAATCCACGAAAAAATGTTTTGAAAAATCATCAAATTTTTAGTAAAGATAAGAAATAAGCTCAATGAAAAATATATAGTTCAGTAGAGAAACGAACGGTTTTTTCTTCTACATAATAAATAAAACGTTTCAATAACGCAGTAGAGAGTAGTTATTGAAAGAAATCGACCGAGAATTGATCTCAAAATCGCTAGGTAAAAAAATATCTGTTTTAATCTGTTTTTCGGAAATTACTAAATTTTTGAACAAGACACAACAATAAATCGAATGAAAACTATGTGGTTCGGTAGAGTAATTGATGTTCTATTCAACTAAGTCAAAATACGAAACTTAGGAAGTTTTATATAAATTCAGTAAACTAAACAAAACTATCAAAAATAACGTCATGAATCTGTATATTAAATAGATCTTATTATTCAAATCATCTTATTAAATCTGTTTCATTATTTTTTTTTCTCAACAGATTGATGATTATAAATTCGAAGAGACTTCACCGGAAATACAACCGGAAACTAAAATATATCACTAGTCATAGCTTAAAGGTATTCTATGGAATGTCATCACACAAACCAATCAGATAGAATTTATTTTTTAAATATTAACTCTAGTGCAAAATTATAA